ATATCATAGATATATATATATATATATATATATATAGCATATTATCCAAACATACCGCAAGATACCGAATGCCGTTCAAGTACGAAAGTCCGAGATGATCGTTGAACATATTCTCATGCAGCTCCAGCCTCTGCAGGGTCACGTGGTCCTTGTCGATAATTTTTGCCTTGTACTGTCCGCGGTTCATATATATATGGTATATCTCGCCTGGCACGTACAAGCTGGTTTCGAATTAAAATTGATAAGAGGTCACGTAAGGCTATTGATGGACCATTGTTATACTCTAACATACAATTTTCAGCGAGCACAGACGAAATTGCATGGATGCCAATCAGTCCAATATGTCAAAGGTTTCATTTTCCACACACGGCGGCTAACAGTTAAAGCACATGTCCGCAACAAGCAGGGCACGCTTTCCGCAATTAACGCAACCCAAACAGAACACAGTACAATGTCGAATTCAAGATCTGAATCATAAACAAAAACATAACTTACTATGGTTACAAATAAGACAACATACTCGGGAAGAATTCCTGCCTCGGTCGCCAGCTTCACGCCCTTTTTCAACCGGTCCTGGATTTCCTGCTCTTTCTGCTGCTTCATTGTTATCGCCCGGTTTCTCGCATTGACGTGCTCCATCTCGTCCATGACATTGGACAGTCCCTCTACTTCCTGAGACTCTCTTCTTACGGGACGCGGCGAGCTTTGCCTCGATTTCGCAACTTCGACTTCATTGTTCATAGATTCCATGAGTGCCATCACATCGGCGAGGCCTTCTACTGGGGTCGATGCTATAGACGGCAGAGCTACGAATGCACGTGAGAGATAGGCAGGACAAATAATTGGGTAAAGTTATGCATGCGCGATGAATATAAAGACCTACAGCAAGGATCGATACCAATGCTCATGTACCTGCAATATATACAAAAAAACCAGAGCAATCTTGTTCAGATATGGGGTGTCAGGTAAGTCTCAGATGAACAATCAGAACTGTAAAAGGAAGGAGCACACAACAGGCGGCGCATTAAACGGTGAAGGGTTGTGAACTCCGCAGGCACTTCTTCCAGATTCAGACAAAC